AATTTCAGCTAGAAGCTAGTTAAATGGTAACTTAGCTTTTAGAATAATTGACCCAAAGTCTCTTGGGGGACAGTGATTAGATAAAGGACCCCCTTGTCTGCCAAGGCCATTCCTAGGCTCTGGCACTAAACCTAATCATATCCTATCAACCCCTCACACCACACCAGACTCGTCCTCAGGGCCTCTGTGTATCAGAGTTCTCTCTGGGAGAAAGTTCTTCCCAGGCTTCTATCCTGCCTGATGTGGGGAAGAGAATTTGCTTCCACCTGGGCCTTGATCATACTGCTTCTGATGCTTTGTGCTTCCAAGCCTGCCATTGAGCAGACTCAGATTTCAGTCCTCCTTAGTCTCCCCTCCTGCTCTACCAACCTCAATGTCCAGGCCTGATTCCTGGACCCTGACCTGGATCAGAGTCTTGGGCTGCACTCTGGCCCAGAGAGATGGTCATCAGGAATATTTATTTCTCTCTGTTCTCTGTAATGGGGATGCATATTTAGTTTCTTCTGGAATGACAGCAAATCATTCCAGGAGAACCAAAACCTACAAGGTGCATCAGAACCTATGTTTTCCCCCTGGAAGCTACTCTCCGACCAAAGCATCTTTCCTGGGGCAGTAAGATTTAGATGCAGCTTCTATATTAATGCCAATAACCTGCAAGCCAATCCGGAGCTCAGGCAGCCTATCCCATCCCCTAGAATCAAAGACCAAGAAATGCCACTAACGTCGTAGACGATCCTGTATTATTCTTAACTGATGTTATAAACTGCTGGTCAAGTACAATAATGTACTGCCCAAAGCCCACCTGAAATCCTTCCATGAATAAGGAAGCTGGTCTGTGGCTGAAATGGGATATCTAATAACTTAAAAGGTCAACAATTTGGGGGAGGGTTTTAGTTTCCTAGCCTGCTATAACAAACCAGCATAAACTGGGTGACTTAAAATAACAATACCTTAGTCTTTCACCGTTCTGGAGATTGGAAGTCTGAAACCAAGATGTCCGCAGGGTTGGTTTGTTCAGGAGGCTGAGAGGGGGAAGCTGCTCGGGCCTCTCTCCTCACGTCTGGCAGCCGCCCGCAATCCTGGGTGTTCCCTGGCTCACAGCTGCATCACTCCCGTCTCTGCCCCATCCTCACGTGGCCTTTTCTTGATGTGTCTGTCTGTGTCTTCACACGGCCTTTGTACAAGGACACCTGCCATTGGATTTAGCTCCCCCCCATCCTGTTTGGCCTCATCTTAGTGAATTACACCCACAGAGTTCCCATTTCTAAATGAGGTCATATTTTAAGGTTCCAGATAGACACAAATTTCAGAGGGACACTATTCAGCCCAGGCCTTGGGAGTAACAATCGACTGTGGGGTTAATGATAAACCAAATAGCAATGATCAATGCCGAGCAATGACTCAGAGGAGTACTTAACTGTTTCTGATGATTAAAAAAAAAAAAAAAAAAAACTTCCTCAAGTTCTTGAATTATTTTGATTTTTTTTCCTTTAAAAAATCCATTAGGTAATAATGATTACACATTACTAAGGCCCAATAGTGGCCGAGAATCTGCTTACAGCAGTTGATTTTGGTTTGTAAAGCTATATATATACATATATACATACACATACACACACATATATACATACATATACATATACATATACATATACATATACATATACATACATATCGTTTGTCTAAGACTTTCCCAAGAATCAGGACAGAACATTTGTCCTAAGACTAGTAAATGAATCTGGTCCCCAAAGCAGAGAAACAAGTACAGTCCCCTCCTCACCGACCCCACAAGCTTCTCTGAAATAATGAACTCTACTAGAGGGTCTATATAGGAAACATAATAAGAGATCATCTTAGAAAGACCACATATCTAAGGAGCCACCAAAAGAAAAGATATAAAACAGACCAATGGCTCCCAGCTAGCTAGGGTGCTGAAATAGGAAGGGAAAGAAGATGGTCAAGATCTTAGATTCCAGGAGTTCTGAGGGCTTGGTAAGCCTCTCCTAAGGCTGATAAAGAAATGGGCAGCTGACCCACCCTCACTGGAGTCAAAAGTCTTTGATTAAATGTGTGGAGGTGAATATTCTAAACTCCAGATTTTTGCTGATAAATTGCATTAAAATTCATCCAAAATTCTACATATTTGGGTTCTAACCTTAGAATATCAATAGAAGTGTGGCCATATTTAGGTAAGAAGTCTTACCATTTCTTATAGCAGAAGGCCATGAATAGGCTCACAGTAAAGGTTAACCTTCCCAAAGCCTTGTTCCTGTGGAGTGGCTCAGTCTGGGTCAGGCAAGCCTCTCGTCCAAGTTCTTGGAAAGTGGGAACCACAGGGTGCCTGAGCCGGGTACCTCTACCTAAGTGGGCTCCATGGTGAATCTAGCAGGTGAGGGGATGCTCATGATCTGTCTTTGCGGAGAGTAGTGTTGGGTCCCGGGGAGGGCCACTTAGGATCTCAACCCTCAGTCTGGAAAGGCCCAGGAGATGGCTGTTTCGGAGGTCAAACAGCCTCCAGGAGGTCAAAGGAGAGTGATGTTACAACCAAGCACAATCCATAATGACAACTTTCACCTTAATGGAGACAGCTAATCTCCACTGAACTCACACTATATTCCAGGCATCGTATCAAGCCCTTTGTGATGCTTACCTCAGGCAATCTTCACGACAACCTTATGAGAAATATTTTTCTTATCCCATCTGTAACATAGGGAGGATAATAAAAACCCAAGTCATTATGGGGACTAAATGAATTCACCTGAAGGACTTAGGACAGTTCCCAGTGTATCTGGCATTATTTATTATATCCACTTCCCTGTCATCAGACTCTGAATTTTTTCCCATTGCGTTCATCCCGTCTGGTCAAGCGTTGGCCCCAGAGGATGTTAGGCCACTGAGTCCCCTGCCTGTCAGTGGGCTTCAGTTTTTCATATCTTTTCCCAAGTGGGAACACCAGGGCAACACAGTGGCCCTGTGAGTCAGAAAAGAGCAATAAAATTTGGTTGGTGAAAAAAGAGGGAGAAGAGAATGAAGATAGTAAACTCCTCCACTTAGCCAGGGTTCAGCCTTCCCTTGGGGACCCAGCCTACCCTGAGACCTTGGGGTAGAGACTGGAGGTAGAGACTGGATCGCCTAGGTCTGGGAGTTTTGATTCCTCAGATTTCAAGCGTTCACTTCCTACCCAGGAGTTCTGAGACCCCCCAATTCCCGCTCGTAACAACCCCAGTGTGATGTTACTAAGGGTTTCATCTGGGCCACCCGCGATGTGAAAATATCTCATTCCACACATTCCCAGCACTGCAGCCACAGCACATCCAGCCCACGTCTCCATAGACGCACGTGTGCACGCACACAGCATGTTCACACTCACAAGCCACACACATACCTACCCATCTTACTCCCACATTTTTACACCCACAGTCACCCACCCACCCACCACAGTCATTTATTCTCTCTCTTGCCAAGGCAGTCCCAGGTCTTGAGCCCAGCAGATGGCAGAGCCCAGCTGTGGGACAGCTGTGAGGAATTGGGATGAGCCCTCCAAGTAGGAAGGGTGGCGGCTGACCAGAACCAAGGCCTCTGGCAGTCACTCACTCTAACCAGAGGCCTGAGGCTGCCCCCTGATACCTTGGCCCAGTTGGTGGTTGGAGGAAATCAGAACTGCAGCGGCCCTGCGCTGATGGAAACCCAGATAGGGGTGGGCAGGACAGGCTGCCTGCCCCCCCCACACACTTCCTCTGCACCTGCCCTGAGCCTCGCGTTTGACTTCTACTGCGGATGTTGTCGTTTTGTGTTTTGGAGAGCATGTGACCAGTCTGGTAAGAAAGGGGGTGGAAATGGCCTCAGTCCTCGGTGCTCCCGAGAGGCTGCAGCCCCTGGAAATGAGGATGCTGGCCAGGTGCCTACAATGTAACCATCGGGAATGAAGCCCTGGGGATCCTCTGATTAAGTAACCGCTCCATGCTGCACCTCCACATTTAAAAGCCCTTCAAGCCCTTCCATGGCCATGGTTTCTGCTGGGCCTCATGAAAGCCCTGTGATGTAGGCAGGGCAGGGACCACCCCTATTTATTAATGAGGAAACTGAGGCCCGAAGCTAGGAAGCACCAAACCAGGACCAGAAGCCATGTCTTCGGACGGGAACCCAGAGCTCTTTCTGTGATACTTTGTGACTGATGGCCTCAGCATATCTCCCGTCTCCATCAGTCACTGGCCCTTTCCCATAGACCCTCGGGGGGCTTGGAGCCTAGCTCTGCCAGGCTGCTGTGACTTCAGACACTGTCACGTGATCGTCTGGCATGCCTCTGTGGCCCCTGGAATGTTGCCTGGGCCCCTGCCAGAGGGCAGCACCTTCAGGGGCAGAGCTGGGAGAGATGAAGTGTGGTTGATCTCAGGTTCTGGGCAAACTGTGGTTAATTAAGACTCCAGGAACAGTAACCTACAGGAGGGAATGCCAGGCTCATTGAGTCCCACCCTCCTTTTCTAGATAAGGAGATCTAGGCTCAGAGAAAGGGAGTGAATTCCTCAAAATCAACGGTTAGTATTCCCATATGGTAGGTGCACAAAATTATTTGCCAAGTAAATTCAAGGGCTACAACCAGTATCTTCTGACTTCAGGACTAAGTTTCTACCCATACAGTCCTCCTCCGATGGAGAAAATTGGTGACAAGTCTCTTTTATCCTGAAGACAGGGATAAGGCAAGTGACTCTGTCTCAGAAGTCAATGAATATTCATAATGCATGGGAGGCCCTTCCAAGAAAACATGCCCAAGGCTAAGAAGCATCATGCCTGAGAGCTTCTAATAGCTTTTTGGAGCTACCTACCTAGAGGCCCTTTGAACCCTGGTGACCCATTCGTGCTCAACATAACATATTTTCTCAATTCCTAACTTCCGCTGTGGTTTGCTGGTATTTTCTTTTTTAGTCTAAAACTAGTTAGCAAACAAAACAAGTTGTCATTTCCTCATTTTCAAGTCTTGCTCCTCGTGGGGGCCAGAAATCTCTTTCAAGCTCCAGATTGTAAAGGGTTCCTGGGTGAGCAGTGGGTCCCTGTCCCCATCTCCAGGGGCTTTTGGATGGGACGTTGCTCTGGAAGGAGCCATGGACCTCTGGCTTTGGTCACTTTGCTTCCTGCCAGGTAAGTGCCCTGGGAAAACATCTTGGACGTTTTATGAGGTTGAATTGTCCACAGGTAGGGGAGTTGCTGGCCATCTCTAGCCCTGATGTTCCTGGATGGATTTGTTTGCAGATAAGTACTCAGGGCAGGATAAGGATAGAGACCATGTGAAGTTCTGGACGTCCTCCCCACTCTCTGTGAGTGCCCCGCTCTCCACTCCAGACTCATCTCCTGTGAGGCTCAGGTGTTGACCCACTAGTGTTGAAGGCATTACCTCTCCTAGGCATATTAGTTTGATAATATGGGATCATAAAGCAAGTGCCTCCAAATTTCTTTCTTCTTACCTCCACATTCTCTTTCTTTGGATCTCTTTCACTGCTGATTTTCAACTTTCAGCTTTAAATGAAGACTGCTTCATCAGTTCAGTAACCCTAATCCATTCCTCAAGTTTAATATCTTCAGCCCTGTCTTCTGAATCGCAATAGCTGCCTTCTGGGAACCCTCACTTTAGTCTCCCACCAAGAGCTGAAATGCAACATACCTAGCACCATAATTCAAGTTCCTTTTTGTCCCCCATCCAAACAAGCTATTCTATCCATCTTAACTATCTCTGATATCAGGTGCAAATGCCAGAATGATTTTTTTTACCACCTCTTACCACTTATTCCCACCCCGACTTTGACCCAATTAATGGCCAGTTCATGTAATTTCTGGATTAGCATGACCGGGATAAGCAGCCTCTACTAGAGAGGTAACAGAGGGAATGGAAAGGAACAGAACTCAAAGTCATCTCATAACTATCCCACTTCCTCCAAACTGACCCACTGGTGAATCCAGATTACTCTAATGTTTGACTCTAATCATAGGATCGCCCTTCCTAGAAACCTTCAATGGCTCCCACTGCCTACAAACTCCTACCTTGTGCTCCCCTTTTACCCTCTGAGCTTACCACACTCCCCTGCGCTTCCCTAACCTCCAGCCAAAGAGGACTCCTCCTTAAACATGTGCTGAACATTCCTGTCACCATGTTCTTAGTCATGCCATTCCTTCTGCTGATAACATCCTTCCTCTCATCTCCACCTTTTATGAGGCCTTCAGAATTCACTTCAACCTCCACCTCCTTGTACGCTTTCCAGAGCCCTGTGTTCTGAATCCCAAGAGCTGACCTCATTCTGCCTTATATTGTGACTTGGCATGTATTCACTTTATTTTGCTGATTAATTGGTGAGCTCCTTGAAGGTCAAAATGATTTTTTATTCATATTTGCTTTATTTCTAATGGCTTGAATATGGAAGAAAGTCAAATATTTGTTGAGTCAAAGATTGAAACACCCTAAAAGTCCAAGGAAATGCAATTTTAATGAAATGTCAGACTCTGTGAGAGGACTTATGTCAACACAGTGGATGGTTAACTAAACTTAGGCTTGAGAAGAAAGAGTGGTTCAGTGGGGGTAGAAGATCTCTAGGAGTTAAGGGTACTTGAACTGCAGCACTGTAGTCTGTCCTGAGCAATACCACCGTTCTAGCTGGGCCAGAGGGGTCCCTGCTCTGGATCCAGTCCATTTCCCTTTGTGCCCATCCTCAGAGAGTGAGGAGTTCACAGGCCCAAGGGGATTGTCCTCCTCAAGCCCACACTCATATCCCCTCTTCTAGACCTCGAACTCCTTGTCCAGATGACTCTGGGCCCACTTTCAATGACTGTATAAGACTCCATACCGGGTCTTCTATCCTAGAATTCTATCTTATTCTATAAAAGGCTGTTTGGAATGAGATGGGTGGAGCTAATACATGAAACCTGGGTTATCTGCTATATATGTACTAGGACCCTTGTGGTGTTGGCAGGAGTTGGGATGAGAAAAGAAGGGGATATAGGACAGATGCTAGGAGTAGGAAACTTGGAGACATTCTTCCCACATAGAAATGTTTTATTTATTTTTATTTTTATTAAAATGTTTTTTAATGTTTATTTATTTTTGAGAGACAGAAAGACAGAGCATGAGGGGGAGCCGGGCAGAGAGAGAGGAGGACACAGAATCCAAAGCAGGCTCCAGGTTCTGAGCTGTCAGCAGAGAGCCTGACACAGGGATGAGACTCATGAACCATGAGATCATGACCTGGGCTAAAGTCGGACGCTTAACCTGCTAAGCCACCCAGGTGCCCCCAACACAGAAATATTTCTGAGTGGACATCTAAGGTGTGTGAATTTGTCAAGATGGGTCATAGGACACACTTTACTCATCGGTTTATTATCTTGATTTATGATTTTAAAATATTTAGACGTATGATGTCGGGGTCTTTATTTGTATTTCTGCCCCAGGTTGTACAAATATTGGAATAGTCCTTGTTCCAAGAGCCCAGTGCATGGGGCACAAACCATAGACCACATGGCCCTAGGGGAAGTTCCACAATAAAGCAAAAATGTATTACATGATGTAGGCTTTTTCACCTTGACCCATAAAAGTAATAATACATACACATGATGTTGTGACCCAGTACACACACACACACACACACACACACACACACACACCTAAAATTTATTCTTGATTATTTAATATAATATGGGAATGAGTTTTGGGTTTCAGCAGTTGGGTGGATGCCGGTACTCTCTTCTGAAACAGGAAGAGCTTAGACAGAACAGGTTTGGGAAGAGAAATCAAGAATTCTTTTTTTGTTCGTCTATTTGTTTTGCCATGGTAAGTTTGAAATACATCTTAGATATTCAAGTAGAGTCCAAGTGGCGATATCAGAAAGGTGATTCTAGAGTTTAGAGGTAAAAAAGACAAGACTAGAGATGAATGTTCTGGAAAAAACTACATACAGTTGGCATTACAAGCCATGGGAGTAAATGAACTAAAGTGGGGAGAGGAAGGGAAGACTGAGAAGAGACCAGGCATAAGTACCAGGCCTTAGGGCAACCCAATACTGAGAGGTGGGTAGAGAAGGAGAGGAAAGAAAGGAGATTGAAAAGGAGTAGTCATTGTGAGTGTGGTGTTAGGGAAGCCACGAAAAGTAAGCATTTCAAGGTGGGAGGGCTCAATTCCCTTACATGCTGCCAAGAGGGCAAGTAAATGAAGACAAAGACATCGAATGTGGAAGCTAGGAAATTTTTGCTGACCTTGACTAGCAGTGCTAGTGGAATGTTGGAGACACAATTCTGACAGGCATAGGTGGAAGAAAAAGTGGGAGGTATGAAAGTGGATTCTGTGACCTTGATGACTCATTTGAGAAAGAGAACAGAAGAGGGGTGGCATCTGAAGGGGAGGCAAAAGGTAGATGGAGGGTTTTTTCAATATGGCCAATATCAGAGCAAGTATGTAAGCCATGGCAATGATAGCAGAGAAGAAACCAAATGACACGGCGAGGAGAGAGGGATCAGTGTGGAAGAGAAGTTCTAAAGAAGGTGAGCAGGTTGGACTCAGGACACAGGAAGAAGAACTGGCTTTGGGGAGGAGTGGGGACACTCTATTCATTGCGACAGGACAAAAAGCAGACAGTCTGCCTGGACACACATGTTGGTGTATGTGGGAGTAGGAAGTTGAGTAGAACGTTTCTCATCTTTTAAAAAAGTTCACACTCCATCTGGTAAACATAAAAGTCTCAGGGGCGCCTGGATGGCTCAGTCAGTTAAACGTCTGTCCCTTGGTTTGGGCTCAGGTCATGATCTCACGGTTCACGAGTTCGAGCCCTGCATTGGCCTCTGTGCTGACAGTGTGGATCCTGCTTGGGATTCTCTCCCTGCCCCTCCCTCATGCTCTCTCCCTCAAAAATAAATAAACACTAAAAAAAAGTTGCAGGCCAGCTTCCCTCTTCCAGAAAGAATTCTGCGGTGACTTGAGTTGCGAGGGTTCTCATCAGCCGGAAAACCACTGCTCAACAGAATCCGAAGTCCATCTTCAAGGCACCACCCCAGCCAAGGCCTTTGGAGCATTTACCATAATTTGCATCATGGAAATGATGTGTTTTTCTCCCATGTTCCAAACATATATATTTATATCTAACTATATATCGAGAGTGACCTTTTAAATCACCTATACCCCTGTCCTCTACCATCGCCACTGAAAATCAAGTCACCAAGTTAGAGATCAATGTCACTTACTAACTAGCCTCTTTAAAACACCAATATTAAAGGGGTTGGGTCCCTTAGACACCTACTTCCACCCCTCCTTTTATTCCCCAGAATCATATGGAAATATAGTTATGTAGTTCAGAATTGCAAAAATTCAAGGACACCTGGGAAGCTTATTTTAAAATGCAGATTCATAGGCCCCACCCTAGACAGATGTAATCACCATGCCAAAGGGTAAGATCAGGTCACCAGCATCCTACTAAGTTCCTCCAACATGCCTCATATGCACACTGGGCATAAATTCGAAACCAGGAAATTACATCTATCTTTTCTCTCTTTGGGAAATCTGCTTTTCTAAACCCTGGTTGTGGGTTAGAAGCTACTGTGAACTCCAAGGAGAGCTGGGGTCTTGTCCTTTCATCTCACCAACTAGTGCTTCCTTGGGACCAGAGCTCAGTGTACCCAGCAGCTTTTCTTGTGCTTCGTCTATCCAGGGTTCACACAATAAGGATGCCTTGCTTTGTCTCCTCTGGCTGCCTTAATAAAACATCATAGACAGTGTGGCTTAAACAATAGAGCTCATTTCTCACAGTTCTGGAAACTAGAAGCTCAAGATCAAGGTGCTGACAAATACTGTCCTTGGTAAGGGTCCTCTTCCTGGCTTACAGACAGCCACCATCTCCCTGGGTCCTTACATGGCTTCTTCTTGTGTACATGGAGAGAAGAGGGACACTAATCCCATTGTGAGGGCTCTACTAACCTCATCTAACCCTAATTGCTTCCCAAAGGACTCATCTCCTACTACCATCACATTGAAGGTTAGGGCTTCAACACGCGAATACTAGGGGAACACAAACATGCAGCCCACTGCAGGGGATCTGGGTAAGCCAAGGGTTTACCAGAAGCTCATTCCTGAGCAGAGTGAGGTCACTCGAGGTGTCTGCATAGGTGATGACCTCTCTTTGCTCTGTCTTGCTCCTGCCCGTATTGTAGCATCTTGCTCTTGGGAAAGCAGCATTCATGCCCCTTTCTGGCTGGGTTGGTCCAAAAATACATGCTCACTCTCAGATGCTGGGCTTTACACACAGGTGTGGGCTGTCTGGACACACAGGGTAATTCCCCCACCCCCTTGACTGGGTCTTTTTCTTTTGAATGGGTCACCCTTCCATTGCCACGTTCCAGTCATGAAGCTGCCTCACACACCTAGGTTTCCAGCAGATTTGAAACAGCATTGGATTATTTGTGTGAAAGTTTCCATGTTAGATGTTACATGTTCTGGCTGGACCCTCCTCTTATCCCTACCATGTTAACACCAGTTACACTCTTAGACTTGAACATACTCCTGGAAACGTTCCCCCTTCCAGCCCCTATCCCCCATTCTCATACTCCCATGGTTGTTTCTACCTCTTCACTGGTGTCCACACTCTCTGCTCCCCCCGGAATGTCCTCTTCAGCTCTCTCTGCTTGTCCAGAAACCTCAAGCCCTCCTTCTTTCTTTGACTTTCCTTATCTTACTAAACTCCTTGGAGCTATTCTTAATGTGTGGTCAGGGGATGAATTTCAAGAAGTCTGTCAACTTCTCTCCATGAACATGCCATGTTCTCTCTCATATCCCAGCCTCTTTGAGCACTGTGCTCATTGCCTGGAAGAGTCTTTTCTTCCTCTACTCAAGTTCCCTGGCCCCACTCCCACACACATACTTCACCCTTTGCTCCTCTTTCCAGAAATATGCAGACACTTATTGGGACCCATTTAGTTGATAATTAATCATATTTGGACTACCCTCTTTTTCCATCTGACTCAACTGTGTTAGATCTGCCTTCTCTAAGCCAAAGCATAAACGTATTGTATTGTATTGTATTGTATTGTATTGTATTCTGTTCTATTCTATTCCTCCCTGCTCCCACCCTCCCCAACACACATACAATGTGTATACACCTGTGCACACGTGCGCACACACACACACACACACACACACACTCTTGCATTCCATCTGCGTTCCCTCATTCAGTGAAGACCATCATTCTCTCAGTTGCCCTCCACACTCAGTCTTTCAGGTCACAACTTAGACTTCACTTCTTCCAGAAACCCTTCCTCAAACTACACCATCCCTTGGCAGCAGCCTGGATCCAGTTTCTCTGCTCACTGCTTCCAAGCCTCCCTGTATATCTCGGTTGTGGGGTGTATCACATGACTCTGTAGTGAGAGTCCATTTGTACCACCCACTAAATGATTCATTCTGTGCAGGGAGGGATGCCAGCCATCTTCCTGCCACATAAAAGGCATTCAACAAATGCTTTAAAAAAAATGATTTAACAAACAAAACCGAGGGTGAGCGGTCGTTTTGGCTGAATGGATCTGAGCAAAACAAAACTAGACAGGAAAGCTGTTGCAGCAAAATTGCACTGTGCCTCCCAACACCGCCCTGAAATCAGTTGGGTGCTATGTGCTGATTGGGGTTGCTATGGCATATCATCTCTCCTCGGCGTGGGACAGAAGTTTTGAGTAGTTTTGACTTCTTAGAGGTTTGGTAACTGAGATCTTAGGGGTTTGGGTTCGAATGAGGGTGAGGGTTATGTTAAGGTTTGGGCTGAGAGAGGTCCAGCTGGGAGTCAGGCTTGGGCAAAGGGCTAGGGAAGAACATGGAGCCAGACTGAGGAGGTACATAGGGTTAGGGATAGGAGGAGGTTGAGGATGAGGCTAGGGCTAGAGATCAGGAGAAGGTCGAGGCTAAGGTGATCTGAGGCTTGGGCTGATGATGGGGATAAGGCTGAAGCTAGAGAGATGAGTGTGAGACTGGGCCGGGGCCTGGGTTGGAAATAGGGCTGGAGTTGGGGATGTGGTTGGAAATGGGGCTTCCTGTACATTAACTCCCTCTCCCTGCAGTGGCTGGGGCTCTGAGGAACCTCCCAGAAGTAAAGCTGGAGGGAATTCTGGGTAGCTCCATTACCATTGAGTGCCCGCTTCCTCAAAAGCATGTGAGGTTGTATCTGTGCCGGGAAGTGGCTGAATCTGGAGTATGTTCCACCGTCGTGTCCAGCAAGAATTTCGTCAAGGAAGAATACAAGCACCGAGTCACCCTGAAGCCATATCCAGATCAGAATGTGTTCCTAGTGGAGGTGACAGAGCTGACCAAGAGTGACAGCGGAGTCTATGCCTGTGGGACAGGCATGAACACAGACCGGGGCAAGACCCAGCAGGTCACCCTGAGTGTCCACAGTGGTAGGTGCCCCCCCATGGAGGCTCAGTGCACCTAGCAAATGTCACCACCCGGGAAGGCTGGGAGAACCACTGAACTACAGAAGTCCTACAGACTGTCATGCTATTACCATGCTAGCCAGTCCAAAGATAATTGGGATTTGCATAGTTGAAACCTCATACAGTGAATTAACTTCACAGTCCCCCAAATTTCCGACCCAAACCATTTGAAAGGAACAAATAAACGCTCTCCTTGCGTTGTATTCTATCCGCACTCCCCAAGGTCTGAGGGGAATGAGGGTTTAAGGTAGAGGAAAGGCTCTGAGATGGGAGGAAATTGGAAGCAAAAGGACATAACTGCCTTACATAGCTGTCCCATGAGACATAGCAGGGATAACTATCAAGGAAAGACAGTCATTTTTCAAGTCACATTTGTAGGTCAAACTTGGTATTTTATGATCTGATCCTTTCCATATGTCTCCCAAATCCCACCTTTCTCCATTCCTCTACTGACTTCTTAACTCCTATGCAACCACTAATTCAACAGCCATTCTAAAATCCCAGTGGCCACTGAGAAAGGGTGGAAGAGCATTTCTTTCAGGGAAGTCTCCAGCCCATTCTTTTTCTGCTCTTCCTGGTGGACTCTGGCCTTGTCCTCCCACTGCCATCCACCCTGGCTGAGTCAGCTTCAACTCATACCAACATCCCTTCCTGGGGTCTCAGTCTCTTCCGAGAGCCCCCCCCCCCCAGTGTATTTATTCCCTTTGCCTCGATAGAGTATGACCCATTCTGGGAAGACGAGCTGATGCCTGAGCCTCCAAGATGGTTTCATAAATTTTTACATAGACCGATGCCCCCTTGGTTCCAGATGCCTGCACATGCCGATTCTCTTGAATTCATACCTAAAGGTCAGTTCACCAAAGCTGAGGTAGGAGAGGTGGGGGCGATGATGTGGGGGCATTGTGACAGTGGAGG